TAGCTGAATCAGGCGAGAGTCCATTCTTTTTCCGTACATAGGCTGCATATTATCGTTAGCCATGTGTTTTTATCTGACGGCATTGAAATGCACTAACAAAACAAGTTCTTCTCATTGGCACCTGTCGAAGTCAAAAACAAACAAAGTCTGTTAGAAAGTTATATTACCTGACTATTTGAGAATGCAATGAGAGATCAGGAATGCTGTCTTACAATAAATCAAAACAAAGATCAAATCACACAGGTATCGGTAATGAGATCCACGTTAGCGTAGCCCTCAAATTCGTGGCTGATTGATTTCGTCTATCACCGAAAATTCAAGTCCAAGATTAGCTAATTAATGATTTTGCAATGTCATCGACATTTATACTGTAGTTAAAATTCGAACAAGTACAATTTATTGGTTGCATTTTTTGTTAGGCAACTCAGTAAAATTGAAGAAATTACGAATTCTATGAGATTTATTGAAACTTGAATGGCATTGAAGAAAAAAGGAGAGAAATTTCAAATAGCTTTCTTCCTTCTCTAGTGTTGCTCTATCCAGCACGGAAACCTGTGAGGATGATATCTTGATAGGATGTGATATCTTCTACTGTAATGTCCCTTACACGCTGCTTTGCCGCACGTCGCAACGTGGATCCCTCGACCTGCTCCGACTTAACACACCTTTTCTCATACGGCAGTAGTCCTGGTTTGTCACTGCTGTTTAGTCCAACATCCCGTCCGCACCTAGCAAAATGGTCGACGCACCTCGGAATCGTAATTTCAGGATTTCAAAAGCACGACCCAGGATTATCACAGGTGAAGGGATCTCCATTTAATGGAGAGAGCATAGAGCAGCCCACCAAGGCCACAGATGTTCCGTTCATCCGGCTCTCAAGAGTCAAAGGCGCAACGGCCAGGAAATACCGCTTCCACCGCTTCCAGTTTTTCATTTAGCAGCATGACACTGTCTGACACGCTGTCATCCGCCGTGCTGTTTCGCCCATGGTCTCTCTTCCGTGCTCAGTTTGTCAGTGTTTAGCACAACCAAATCGAGTAATTGTCTGAGACCTCAACTTCATCGTTTCTGACGGATACTTTTCCGTTTTTTTACTGCCGGCCCACTTCGCCCAAATGCTTCATTTTTATATGCGAGATTCGCACTAGTAGCTTGATCGTGACGCATGTCTTTGAAGTTTTGAAAGTAGTAAGAATGAGGCATTGGGGGATCTGCCGCTGTATGGTAGCAAGTTTACCCCCTACCCCTTCCCCCTTCCCCCCTTGACGGTCGCTTTGGAGAGACAGTGAGCGAAGATGGGCTGTGTCGATGGTCTCATAAAATTCTATAGAAACAGCCATGATGGTGAGGGTGGTTTCGGAGAAGGGGAAGGGTGATCGTATCGAGGGAGCCTTCTTGGACTGATAAGGGTCACAAAATTTCTGAAAAAGTGTGAACGTGACCTGTACTGCCTGGAAGATCAGTATTATATTTTCGGTACATCCACTTCCCAGTTGACGTGAACAAATTCCAGAGCTAATTGTAAGAAGAAAATGGTCAAATCATCAGGTATAGTGTTTATTAAGGCTAGGTAGCACCACATGGCTACTCTGCATTGCAGAGTAGTATTATTTTCTGTTTATGCAGAACTCCAAAACAAATCATGGCACCAAAACATTCCAGTCAACGTGAACACAGTGAAGGTAATCTACTGTTTCTCGTGTTCCTCTCGGTTATCTAAATTTTACCAATTGGCAGTTTGATAAAGAATGAAGACTATCATCGTCATCTTAGCTTCCATCGCTGCCACCAGAGCGTGTTCATGCTTTCCGCAGCCAGCAGACGCTGTTTTTTGTGAAGTCGACTTTGGTTAGTTTTTGTATTTCCATCACTATTCTCCATTCAAATTCACAAACAAAAACCTGTTTTCTTCACCTCTCTGCAGCGTTAACTATATGACTATCTGTAAGATATTATGAGCGAGGTTTGTCCTTGTCGACATCACCTGTACACCTGTCGTCCCGTTGATCATCGAATTGCTCGAGCGGGCGCCAGCAACGTCTCCATTCGTCCCTGTCGCGTGCAAGAGTTGTCCAGTGGACCCTCCTCGCTCGAGGGACACGATGTCCTTCATTCCTTTCGTTCAGAGCTTTCGTGAAGAAGTCTGACCATCGGGCCGGCGGTCGTCCAGGTGTTCGTTTGACGTCCCGAGGGATCCAGTCGGTAACCGCTCTGGTCCAACGGTCATCGCAAAATCGCATGACGTGTCCGGCCCACCTTATCTTCGATTCCTTGGCGAAAACGGCAGCGTCCCTGATCTTCGATCGTTGGCGTAATTCGGCACTCCTATGGCACTTTATCGGCATATTCTTTAAAGGCAAAAGTCAGGCTCGTGTTTGGGCATTATGGCGCCTGAAATTGAGTGTAGAGATGGGAGGTGGAACGACAGTGAAGAAAAAACGCAAAGAAACCGTCGACAAGACCGAAATCGAAACCCCTTCCCTTCTAGCAGTGAAGGAGGCTTGCTCGGGGGAGAGCCACGTCCAAACGAGTTTTCCGGATATGCCAGCCGTTCCATCGGTTGATACGGCAATCAACCTAGCTGATCTCACACGTTAGGCCAGCCACGCACCACATCCCGCGGTGGGCGGGACCAGCTGATGAAACGAACCCATCGCTGTAAGTAGTAGGCCAGAGGCCTTGACGGCGCGCAATCTCGAGTCAGGAGTGTGGCATCACCCCTCTGAGCGCATTCCTGGAAATATTAGTGATGGAAAGGCCTTCTGTGGTCACCTAATCCTGACTCGTGGTTTAGGCGTGAAAGCTATCAAGGTAGTTACGACGATGAAGTGTGTGTGTTGAGGGAAATGAATAGAAACAGAGGAGTGGAAGGATAGTGAGAAAGTGCAGAAAGTGAGGAAGGAAATGAGAGAAGAGGGGGATGGGAATTGCAGAAACAGGACCAGTTGTAGATTGAAGGGAAGCCGGCTGTAAGTAAAATGTTGGCACATTTCTCCAGAAAAAACACGAAGTGGATACTTTGAAGTACTCGACAACTTCTCCCTTACTGCAATCTCGGCATAGGTTCCACATGAACTCCGAACAGGCCTCTGAAGACGACTATTCAGTCAGAACTTCAAGCTACTTCAATAAAGGTTCCACCGAACATTCTCGAAAGACACAACAACTATGTAGCACACATAATTTACTGTTGAGGTTGAAGGAAGGCGAGAAGCTGGAGAATACTAAAAAGGAGTCCGCAAAGCGTAATCACTTCGCCATGAAGTGGATTTTGTGAAATGGTAACTACCGCCTAGTTAGACTCCCAAACATTTTTGTAATTTGAGTGGAAAAATTAACAGCCTTCTCCAACGCAGCGTTTCAGCTTCCCATGTGAAGGTGCTGCGGTTGTCTAATCCACACAATGACAACACAGGCATTCATGACGTGATCTACACCGTGAACCACATTCGCGTTTTCAAGGTATCGTCATTTACCGAAAATCCAAAAGTTTTTTCTTTTGTCTTACTCATTTTTCTAAGCTTCTGACCAGTTCCTGACTGGCTGTTTACAAGACTAGTTCAGCAGAGTCAGTTGTTCTCGAAATGGATGAACTGGAAAGCTTTCAGAAGCCTCCACGTGTCTCTACGTTGCCGCCGGTGGTGTTTACGCCCTCCAATGGAGCGACGTGCGGTCTCTATCTGCAAGTCGGCAAGGAGTATCTTCTGTCAGGTGACTGACTATTCGTGCATTCTCGGACATAGAGAAATACAAAAGCTTGACAGCAGCAGATATAGTTGGCTCAGTCCAGGTTGCGCTCACCGATAAAATACGATAATCAATTTGAGACATTTTCCTGCCCAACGTACGGTGCACCAGTTCGGCAGAGCCTTAAAGCCACGAGTCAGGATTAGGTGACCATAGAAGGCCTTTCCATCACTAATATTTCCAGAGGGGTGATGCCACACTCCTGACTCGAGATTGCGCGCCGTCAAGGCCTCTGGCCTACTACTTACAGCGATGGGTTCGTTTCATCAGCTGGTCCCGCCCACCGCGGGATGTGGTGCGTGGCTGGCCTAACGTGTGAGATCAGCTAGGTTGATTGCCGTATCAACCGATGGAACGGCTGGCATATCCGGAAAACTCGTTTGGACGTGGCTCTCCCCCGAGCAAGCCTCCTTCACTGCTAGAAGGGAAGGGGTTTCGATTTCGGTCTTGTCGACGGTTTCTTTGCGTTTTTTCTTCACTGTCGTTCCACCTCCCATCTCTACACTCAATTTCAGGCGCCATAATGCCCAAACACGAGCCTGACTTTTGCCTTTAATGTATGCTGAGGAGAACCTATCAAGGGAATCATTAGAAAAGGGCGCAAGCTTGGCTCAGAATTAGATAATCATGCATTACAAGGATAATGCGATCGTATTCTAGTGAAGAGTTTAAAAATGCGGCCCCATCCATATCGCGTCCCGAACTTAAAGGCGGAGTTCACGCTGAAAAGGCAACCTATTTCAAATTAGGTTAAAGGACCCTTTCCTGAAAAATCTTGCACTGTTTCCCACCACGCATATGTTAGTTGTGATCACTTGAGGCAACATACAATCATGCAGCAGTACTTTAGTAAAGAATTCGAAACTCTCTACTAGAGAACTGCTGCATTATCCTCGTGATGATTGATTATCCAATTCTGAGCCAAGTGTCTTACGCTCACCTCTATTGATTTCTTTGATAGGTTCTCCTCAGCTCAGTCGAACTGTTGCAGCGTACGTTGGACAGGAATGTTCACGCACAAAGATTCAGTTTCCGAAGAGAACAAACTACAAAAACTACACTCTATGGACAATCGAAGGTAAAAGGCGCGGAGCCAAAGGCGGGGCATGGAAAGAAGTCCGCCTTGGGGCGGCTACGTATCAGGCGACGCAATGAAAGAATCGGTTAAAGC